ATTCTAAATGAGAGGTCTTTGTCCAATGACCATTATGTGGACATGCTACTGGAGGAACAGAACCATATCAATCTTGACATTGTCACATTAATGAAATCAGAAAACAAAAGAAAGTCATAGCTAAATTGGTAGACTGACTCACAATGTATTTGGAGAAGCAAATATAGGAGTTGGCTTTTTATCATGAATCTAAAGGCAATAAGAAACATCTTTTCATGGGATATTGGGTCATCTTGAGTTGTAGTGTTCATAAGTAATTGTAAAAAGGCCACATAAAAAGAACCATGCATCAAAATCTACCACAGAAGATGAAATAGAGAAATTCTATGAAAACTTGATAAGACATTCCAAATTAAATCAACATATACTCTGAGCCTTGATGCCTTCAATGCAAAGATGGGAGTAGGTAAGAATAATGGGAAATTTGTTGGAAAATATGGTTCAGGGGTCAGGAATGAGAGAGTCCAAAAACTTATACATTACACAGAAGCCTCATGTCTATACACAACGAGTACTTCCTTTGAGAAGAGAATTGGGAGGTGGTGGTATAGCACTCTTTCACAATAACTGAATAACATGAGCAAACATGATATTAATTCTATTTTAACAGACAGGAAGTGGCTCATTACTGGGTGGGAGTAATTTCTGAGTCAGATATCTGTGAGTAGATGACTGAATGGTTGAACAAAAATAAAAGCTAAAAGGAAGAATAAAAATCTGAAAAAAAAGATAATGTTAAATTAAAATAACTTCATTCTAACCAATTTAGATGAGTTATTGATTTATGAAAAAAAATAGGCTATGGATAGAAGAAAGGACAGACATACATGCTACAATAATTTCATACAGAAATTTAACAAATTTAGAATTTGAAAATCAAATGCCATAGTAGACCAAAGGAGCCTAAAGACCACTTTAGTCAGAAAACACAACTTGCCAAGCAGAGAGAGACAGAAACTAAGGACAAATCTAGTTTAGGATAGAAACTCATTTGTGAAATATTACAGAGAATGATGGTAACAAATTATGAACAGTATTGTCTCATAAAATGGTGGCAATCAATGGACGGAAAACCCAGTTTAAAAGGTCAATTAGCAAATATTTATTAAGCACTTTCTTGCCTTTTTAGTTTTCTTACACTTTACTCCCTTCCATGTACTTTGTGATTCATCAGTACTAGCCTTCTTGCTGTTCCTCATAGAGGACATCTCTTGACTGTCCCCTATGTCTAGAGTGTCCCCTCCTTCTCTCTGACTAGTAGTTTTCCTGGCTTCCTTCAAGACTCAATTCAAATCCCACCTTCTGCAGGCCGCCTTTCCTTGGTCCCTCTCATTGTCTTCCCTTTAGGATTACTGTCCACCTACACTGTATATATCTTTATGTACATAGAGGTTTATATACTGTTTCCTTCATTAGAATGTGAACTCTGTTTTTGCCTTTCTTTATATCCCTAATATTAAGTACAGTGCCTGGCACAAAGTAAACTTGGACCATCACTTCATGGGGTACCCGAGCCATCTATACTCATTTCACTCCTGGATCCACTCCTAACTTTCTAGACTTTGCCACCTTCTCCTCTCCACCCTCCTCCAACTCCCAGCTCTTTTTTATGTGTTGCCATTCTGTATCAAAATGTAAGTTCCTAAAAAAATAAATAAATAAAAAACAACAACAAAATGGGGCAGCTAGGTGGCGCAGTGGATAGAGTACTGGCCTTGGATTCAAGAGGAGCTGAGTTCAAATCCAGCCTCAGATACATAACACTTACTAGCTGTGTGACCCTGGGCAAGTCACTTAACCCCACTAACTGAAAAAAAAAAGAATGTAAGTTCCTTGAGGGCGGGCACTTTCTTTCTGCTCGTATTTATATTCTTATTGCTTAGCACAGTGCCTGGCATATAGTATGCACTATTTATCATAAGTTCTATTTGTCTGTCCATTTAAAAATTAATACATGTTTTTTGATTGACTGACTGACTGACACCTACCATGTGTCAGGCACAGTGCTAGATGCTGGAGATACAAAGACAAAAATAAAATAATCTCTGCCTTCAAGGAGTTTACATTCTATTGACTGATAGAATACATAGATAAGTGTGTAGCAGTAGTCATTGGTATTTGTTGCTTGAGCAAATACATGACGACAAAAAGCTACTATGAATTCCGTGACACTTTTGAATGAATTTGTATTTATTGATTATGATTATATCTACCTAACATTTGAAAGATAGTAATATACATATGAGACATTATAAATTATAGAAGGAATGTTTGCTTATTTATTATATTGAACAGTACTGCATATTTTGATGGGGCTAAATAAAAATAACAACGCTTGGAACAAATGTGGATTTATGGACCCCTTAGAATACCTCTATGGCCTCCCACGAAAGGAAACTTCTCCCAGCCTCAGTTTTCTCATTTGTGAAATAGGTAATAATAGCACCTAAATTACAGGGTTGTTAAGAGCAGATGAGACACTTTTAAAGCACTTGGCACAGTGCCTGGCACATAGCAGGTGATTAATAATATTTGTTCACCCTTCCCTCCTTTCTTCACCCTGCATAGCCAGTTGCCAAATCTTAGTTTTTACCCTTTAAAATCTCTCTTACATCTGACCCTTTCTCTCTATTCACACAATTACTATTACCTCTTTTGATTATTCCAACAATCTCTTCCTTGATTTCCCAATCTCTTCCCATTCCAGTCTATCCACAGTTGGGAAATTAGTTATGGTCTTTAAGTGCATATCTGACCATGTAACTTCCCCTATCAATCAGCTCCAGTGGCTTCCTATTGCTTCTGGGATAAAATAAAAACTCTTCTGTTTAGTTTTTACAGCCTTTCACCACCTGGCCCCAACCTATCTTTCCAGCCTCACGGGACATTACTTCCTCTTCCAAACTCTGTCATCCAGTTCTCTGTTCCTCATACACAATGTCCCGTTGCCAGTCTCGATACCTTTACATCGGTTGTCCTGCATGCCTGGGGATGTCCCCCCCCCCCTTCCTCCTGCCTCCTTGAATCAATTTCTTTAAGCCAAAGATGAAGGACAAACAAACAGCAACGGACAACGACATAGCATTTTAAGGTCTACGCAGTACTTAACACGTTAACTTCTGTATTCTCACAACGACTCTCTGAGGTAAGTGCTGTTATTGTTACCATTTTATAGATGAGCAAGCGGGGCTGAGAAGAGTGAAGTGACTTTCCCAGAGACACACAGTGAGTGACAGAGGCAGGATTTGGATTCAGGTCTTCCTGACTCCAAGTCCAACACTTTATTCTTCTCTTGTGCCACCTAGCTGCTTAAACCTCATCTTCCGCATGAAGGTTGTCCTGATCTCTCAAACTGCCAGTTCCCTCATTCCCCGTATTTAATGTAAACTCCTTGAAGGCAGAGATTATTTTATTATTTTTGTCTTTGTATCCCCAGCATCTAGCACTGTGCCTGGCACATGTTAGGTGTCAGTCAATCAATCAAAAAACATTATTCCACCTATTTAATTATTTTGTGATTAGTCTTTTGGGACACTTATTTCCCTGATCAAAATGTAATCTCTTTAGCAATAGGGATTGTTATATTCTTTTTTTTTGTAGCTTTTTCTTTTTACAATTTTTTTTCCTTTTTAGGCAATTGGGGTTAAGTGACTTGCCCAGGGTCACACAGCTAGTAAGATATCAAGTATTTGGTCTGAGGTCAGATTTGAACTCAGGTCTTCCCTGACTTCAGGGCCGGTGCTCTATCCACTGCGCCACCTAGCTGCCCTTGTTATATTCTTTATGCTTATATTCCCAGCACCTAGGACAGTGCCCAGCACCTAATAAATGCTTGTTTGATTGTTTGACAATTTAGTCCAACGCCCTCATTTTACACATGTGAAACCCGACGCTCAAAGAAATTTAGTGTTTTGCTCGTTGTCACATAGGTAGCAGAGCTGAGATTCAAAGTCAAGTTCTCTGACTCCAAATCTAGCATTCTTTCCACGCCACAGTGCAACCCCAAAAGTTGATTCTACCTTGGTTTTCACTAATAGAAGCATAATGTCATGAGTAAAGGAGGCCATGGTCAAATTGGATTGATCTGATCATGTCACAACTTGAATATTATGTCCAGTTCTACATCCTATATTTTAGAAGGGATATTGCCAAGATGGAGGACATTTAAAGGGGAGAAAACCAACATGGTGAAGGAGACTATAATCCATAAGGTAATGATCAGGTGAAGGAACTAGGGATTTTCATCCTAGAGGAGACTAAAGATGGTGGTTATGAGTCATGTTAATAGGCTTCAACTATTTAAAGGGTTGTCATGTGGAAGGGAGATTAGATTTGTTTTATCTGGCCTTAGAGGGCAGAACTAGGACCAATGAACAAAAGTTTAGGGAGACAATACTTCTTTTTTTTTTTTAAGGTAGTTGGGGTTAAGTGACTTGCCCAGGGTCACACAGCTAGTAAGTGTCAAGTGTTTGGTCTGAGGCCGGATTTGAATTCAGGTCCTCCTGGCTTCAGGATTAAGTGCTCTATGCACTGCGCCACCTAGCTACCCCTAGACAACACATATTGACTCAATATCCAAAAAAACTTCCTAACAATTAGGATGTCACAAAATAGAATGGGCTGCCTTTGGGAACGGTTAATCAAGTCAAGTCAAGTCCACAAGCATTTTATTAAATGCACTTATCAGTGCCAAGCACTATGCTAAGCACTAGGGATACAAAGAAAGGCAAAAATAATCCCTGCCCTTAAGGACCTCACAATCTATAGAGTTAAGCTTTCTTTCAACAAAATACCTTCAATCAGAGGTTAGATGAACACTTGTGTCAAGGATATTGTAGAAGGAATTCATACTTTGGGTGACCTCCGAGATTCTTTTTGTCTCTGTGATTCTATGATGTTGGTGGGTAAGATAAAGATGGGCAAAAAAAAGGTGGGACATTCACTGTCTACAAAGACAATCTCAATTAAATTGCACCTTTCCTGTTCAGCAGGGACAGGACCCAAAGGAGACTTCAATAGTGATTTCAAGATTTTAATTTTTTATCCCTGGTGTCAATTCAAGGCCCCACCCTCAAATCTTTCCATCATTCTCTCAATCTCCTTCTGTTGCTCAGGCTTGCTCCAAATATTAATGTGCCTGATCATTACTCGGCCATGCTGAGAGGTACTCACTACTAGCTTCAGACAGCTTACATTCTTCCCTGTCTTTTTATTCAGCATCTTGTGGTCCAGCTTCCCATTTACCAGTGACCCCAGCAGAATGTAGCGGGTACAGGCTTCAGGTTCTCCTTCGGGGTCGTAGCCTAATTCTACTTTTCCATCCTTCAGCTTCTCACTGTTTTCCTGGTCTCTGCCTGTTAGCACCTGTACCCGGGTTACTGTGGCTGCCTTGGCCAAAACCACAGTTAAATGGTTGCCAGCCTTAGGCTCCAGTGCCCAGAAGAACCCTCCCTCACCTAGGATGTAGGCCATTTGGGGAGAAACATGATTTAAAATCCACAAATTACTGTAGACAGTGGCAGGTGGGTTGTTGGGGGCTTCCTCTCTGTCCTTGTATTTGACCATCTTGTACTCTGGTTTGTCGGAGCTGCCCTTGTTGAAGGAGCCCACTTGAGAGAAGAGGGAGGGGCTGAATTGGATGGGATGGTTCTGGTCAAGCAGCTTTCGGAAGTGGTAGAGAAGCACTTCAGGGGGTGCCTCCTTGTAGAGGAGGAAGAATTGAGCCAGCCGGGGGAGGTCACTGGAATGCAAGAGTTTGCCAACGAAACCCCATGTTGAGAATTCCATTAGCACCCAGTCATCTATCTCCCAGGTCACTATCTCTCTCCACATGCAGGTGATAAAGTTGGGCAAACAGTGGACATTATCTTCAATCATCAAGAAATAGTTAGAGAGGTTGGCAGCAAAGTTCATGAGTAAGGCATGGGCCACATTCTGATTAAATTGGACTATATTGGAGTAGGCCTCGCTGAGGTTAGTTTTCAGGGCCCTCATAGGTGGATAGGGAGTAGACAAGGAACGGATCACCAGCAACTGCCCTGCCACCGTTTGTGGACTGAAGGTCTTGATAATGTCAGAGATGGTCTCATTGAACCAGGTAGAATCAAGGACAGTCAGGTAGACCAGCACTAGGATATCCTTCAGCTCATCCTCAGAGGAAGCAAGGAATAGTGACTTCAAGGTACCCATGAGGTAGTTGCCCTGGGGATGTTGCCTAGAGGACAGACCTACAGTCATCAGTTCTGAAAAGGAAGCACCCGTGGTAGAGTTAGTAGCAGAAAGAGATGGAAAATGACTTGTATTTTTGTAAATTTGACTCTCTATATATTTGAGAAATGAGGCCTTTATCAGAGATACTTTTTGGAAATCCCTCCCCCCCCCCCAGCTTTCTGTTTTCTTTTTAATCTTGGTTACATTGGTTTTGTTTGTGCAAAAAACTTTTTAATTTTATATAATCCCAATTATCTATTTTACATTTTGTAATGCTCTCTATATTTTCTTTGGTCCTAAATTCTTCTGTTATCCATAGATCTGACAAATAAACTATTCCATGATCTCCTACTTCTCATGGGTAGTATTTGAAATACTCCCTGGGAACTTCATCTCTGTTCCCCTCTCTTCTCTTTCCACTTCCATCATTTCTTTCTCCCTTCCCTGGGGGATGAACCAGTTCAGATAATGTTACTTTACTTAGAGGTTTAAGTGAAATCTCCCCCCTTATTTGTTCTTCATGGAGGATGATGATGAGAGTATGTATCTCCCCAGGAGTGGGGAGAATCTGAAAAGAAATATAAGAATGCACCAGAAGTAGCTTACTTCAAAACATGCCTAGAAATAGCTCTGACCCAGCTTCTCAGCATTGTCCCTGGTGCCACAGGGCATGGATGGCATTACCTCTCATTTGTCTTATTTCTACCTTGTATGTATAGAGCTATTTGTACATTGTCACTCCACTAGAAGGTATGATTCCTGAGAGAAGGGACCATGTTTTCACCTTTCTTTGTATCCCCAGCACTTAAAACAGAGTAGGCTCTTTAAAAACACTTGTTGATTAACTGACTGAGACATAGATGGATGAAACTTGGATTAGATGATTTACATATATATATAGTCCAATAAGGACCCCAAAATTCTGGGGTTCTAGTACACTGTGAAAAATATCCACCCATCCTCAAGAACCCATTCCTTCTCTTACTACCCTCCCTTTTAAAAAAAATCTTTTGGTTTCATATTACTTACATTTCCCAGTGAAACCCTACCAGAGAGCCTCTACCCTTACTTAGAACAAAGAACAAAAATGAGGAAAAACAGTGCAGTAAAACTAACCAACACATGCAAAAGATCTGGCTTTATATGCTGTATTCCACACACGCATTCCCCACCCCCTACCCTACCTCTTCCCAGAAGAGGATGTTTGGGCTTTCTCATCTTTTCCTTCTCTTTTTATCCAGTTCCTCTGCCACAGGTCTTCCTTTTCTGCTTCCCTACCATCGCCAAAGCTCTGCTAAGAATGAACTTAACATCGAATGACCAGAGGTTAGGTCTGGCTTCTTGGGGGATGGAGAGTGGCAGGGCTTGATGTTACTGATTTTAGTGCAGACTGAGTTTGGGGAGAATAATGGAACCGGGATTCCAAGTTTCTAAATTTAAAGTCTCATGGACAACAGCTCTGCCTGTCAGTATTTTTTCCTTCCCCCTCCCCCATAGCTTTCTTTCTTTTCTTCTTCCTATTGAACATCTTCCTGTCAGCTGTTATACCCTTTATCCTCCTGAGGGCTCTAGGCTTCCTAAGTGGTGGGATGGATAAAGTGCTGTACTTAGAATCAGAAAACTTCCATTGGAATCCTGCCTCAGACACTTGTGTGACCTTGGCTAAGTCATGTTTACCGGTCACAGTCCCAGTTTATTCATTTGTTAAATGAGAGGGTTGGATCTGATGGCCTTGAAGATCCCTTCCTATTTACATCTATGACCCCATGTCTCCCCAGGTCCCCTTGATGCAACTTACTTTTCTTGATGGGCAGGGTTCCAGCCAGCTGTTGATAGGAGGCATTACTAAGCTCTGAAGGGTTCTGGATTTCTTTGAAGGTCTTCAAGTGACTTTTGCTCACGGAGTTGATCTGCTCTTGGGTCATCATCCAAGCCAAGATCTTCTTTTCCTCCTGGGGATGGGAGTAGTTTCAGCCTTCCCAGACACCCCACTCAAAGCATGGATGTGGTCTCTAAAGTGGTCCATGTAATCCCCCAACAGGCCACCTCTTAGTGATGTCAGGCTTTGGGGCATATCTCCAACACAACCACACTTACCCTTTCCCCACCAATACTTCTTTATTCTACCCCCTTCCCTCCACTGTGCAAGCTTCCAACCTCTTCTGTCCTAGGAGCAGTTATTATTTACCTAGGTACCCAAAGTAACAACAGCACAGGTGCCAGGAAAGTTCTACCCTGCCCCATCCTTACCAACTGCTTTTCTCTCTCATTCTCTCTCTCCCACCTGCCACCTCCTCCAATCTCCCAGTGGCTGCTTTGGCGAGTGAAGGCTTGAGTAGTGAAGTTAACCAAGTGGTTCACAATCTTTCTGTTCTCACTCTTACTGTCCCCACATATCCATTTGGATACCAAATCTTGTTCTTGTTCTATATGTAGCTATAATTATTAGTACAGTAATTGTTCATCCTTCGTTTTTGAAGCGGACCAATGACATCATGGATGATGTCTTAACTTTCACATGAATTAGATTTAAGTAAGGCAGAGTTACAGTCATTAGCCTCACTCTCCCTTCCAGAGCCACTGAAGTCTTAGTGGCAAGACAAAAGTCAGGATGATTGGAGATGGCCCAGGATGCAGTGAATGACCTCTTGGTGTCTTTGATGTCTGACCCAGCTCTAAGCACTCCATAGCACCTGCTTCATGGCCATTGAATAAATTATTCTCATCTGCTCATTCCTGGGGTACAGTGGGGACGTCTTCACATGCTTAGGGTACTTATCCCTCTAACTTACCAAAAGGTTTAAGGCCTGTTGATTGCCCCACCTTGGTTTAGCCTGGTCTGCCAAGATAGTTTCATTGAAGTGTGGCCAATGCACATGCTAGAGTTTCTTAAAGCCACAAGTGAGAGTTGGGTAAAAGGTGGAAAATGGATGAAAGCCCTGAAAAGGGCTCAGCAAGCCCTCACGTCAGAGATACTAGTCCTCCCTGTACACCCAGTATAGTAGAAGATGTGTGTGTGTGTGTGTGTGTGTGTATGTAGAGACAGAGACAGGGAGAAAGAGAGGAGGTGTGCCTTCAGATCTAGTCTTTCTACTGTGGTGATAATTTTTATCTACAATAAGAGAAACTGAGACAGAGCTCTGAGCCCATGGTACTTTATTAAAGGGTCCATGATCCCCTCTAATGAAATGGACCTCAGATCTTCCTTATAATCTGAGATGCCCCCTTCTTCCAAGGCCCTATTTTTCTAGGGTTAGATATTTTAAACATTCAAGAACAGCTATACCAAGTACAGAATAATTCCATTGGTTGACATGATTCATAAGCAAAAATGATTTGTCAGCATGGTTACAAGTTGGGTGAAGTAAGGAATATCTCCATAGACTAGGTGGGCATAAGATGGACACCTGCTCATGTTGGACAAGAAAGAATGGTTTGGAGGCACAGAAATAGATTTTGGGGGACTTTCCATATAGTTGAGTCACCTCGACCACACTGGGCTTGGTTACCATGACAAGGAAGAACAAGGGTGGAGTGCCTCTGGTTAACTTCCTGTGATTAAGCCAGTGAACTTAGAATCTGCAGCTGACAGCTCTGAAGCCTAATATGCAGAACTCATAATCACTACCCTTATGGAATGATAATGAACTGACAAATACTGATTTGGGGCTCCCAAGGAATCAACTTTCTCACTACTGAGCTCCAGTCTGCTATCTGGACATTTCAAACTGGATGTCCCATAGGCATCTCAAACTCAGAATGTCCAAAACAGAACTCCTTACTTTTCTCCCCAAACCTACTCCTCTTCCAAACTTCCCCATTATTGTTGAGGATGTACCACTGTTCTTCCATTCATCAAGATTTACAACCTTGGTGTCACCCTCAACACCTCACTCTCACTCACCCCATGTATCTTTCATCAGTCACCAAACTACCTATACATTCTCCTCCCCATTCACCAGCCACCACCATAGTTCAGGCCCACAGTCAGTTCTTGCCCTGGATGACTACAATAGCTTCTTATTTCATATTCCTCTCTCAAATCTTCCCCATTCCTTTATACAGCTGCCAAAGGGATTTTCCTAAAGCACAGGTATGACCAAGTCACCCCCTGTACTATGAACTTCTATGCCACTGTTACCTTGAGGATGACATATAAACTTTGCTGATGTTCTCATATCACTTCTTCAGCACCGAGCTTGACCAGCCTCCACAACTTTGACAACGCTGATTTCTCAGCTAGAATGCTCTCCCCATCCTAATTTACTTTGTTCAGCTTCTACCAAGGTCCAGTTCAGATCCTACCTATTTCCTTTATGATGTTGACTCTAACTTACCTAACAGGGTTGTTGTGAGAATCAAATGAGAAGTTTGTGAAGCTCTTAGCACAGTGCCTGACATAGTAGGCATTCTATAAATGCTCGTTTTCTTCCTTCATTAAGTCCTTGCCCTCTATTCAGAATTCTTATAGCACGGGCAGTTTATATTTCATTATACAATATGGAACTTGATAGATTCTGTCTTACAAGTGCCTCCTTTTTGTTTTCACTCCACTGCTGGCTCTTTTACTCACCACAACCTGATCTTCATCAATTTCTTTGGTAGCTCCCAGGCTGAGGAGGAAGCCCAGAAGAATGGATGCAGGAAAGGCCAGGACAGAGCATAGAATGGAATAATGCATGACGCTGCAGGTGGGATTCAGCTCTAAAAATGAAATTGAGGAAGGTCTGTGATTCAGAATGTGGGATCTGGGGAATTTCTGTTTCTACAGAAATTCAGAGCATCTTTCTATCTCCCTTGGAAGTTCCTCCTCCCTTCTACTTATCTATGATTGCCATTTTCCCAAACCTTTAGCTCTTTCCCACCTGAGAAGATTGCTATACAGAACAGACAGTTGCATAGTACAGTAGATAGAGTCCTAGCCTTAGAATCAGGCAGACTTATCTTCCCCAGTTCAAATCTGGCCTCAGACACTTACTAGCTGTGTGATCTTGGGCAAGTTATTTAACCCTGTTGGTCTCAGTTTCCTCATCTACAAAATGAGCTTGAGAAGGAAATGGCAAACCTCAAGGTCAGGAAGAGTTGGACACAGCTGAACAACAGAACAGACATTTTGCCACCTAGTGGAAGAGATATATGGCTGTGTCCCCTTCTGCCTACTGTGACTTTTCCTAGATCCTCAGAACCTTTTGGATGATCCATCACATGCTTCTGGAAGTCAATGTATCAGTGAAAATCAGGCAGGTTTTCTGGGAGTGATGACACAGGGAGGGACCAGGACATCCAAAGGATATCATTCTTGGAGTAGGGAAATGCAGTATAGCTTCAGAGAAAGTAGTGGGGTGGGGGTGGGTGAGAGGGAGGAAACAAAGCAGGGCAAGAGGTCAGCTTCCTTTCCCAGCCCTTGACCATCAAGCAGATATTTATGATTGGGCTGCAGTAATGCACATTCTTCCTCTGATCCTCACCTGTTATCTGTTCAATTGTTGATCAATCCCTCCTTGATCTCTTGGCTGGAATCTCTTGGAAGAGGATTAGAATGGAAATAGTCACCCAGGGATGAGGATAGAGCAGTTTGTAGCCTGGGCTCAAGCCACTCTACCTTTCTCTTTAAGCACAATAATCCACAGTTCTTTCTCTTTTTTGGCATCTACTTTCCACTCCTCTAGGGCTGAGGAGGAAGTCTTCAATAAGTGGATCGTAAAGAATTAAATAGGAAATCCAAGCCAGTTCGAGTACCTCAGAACTACTGCAGGTGGTGTTTATCTGTCACCTAGTCAGCCTATTGCCTCTTAAGTGCGGGGTATTTCAGAGACCCTAGAGTTCGCCCAAAGATCCAGAGGAAGGAACTTTAAAACCCCTACAGGCAGTGGGGTTAGGTCTGGATTCCTAGGACCAGGGGGACAGAGCCTGATGGGACCAGAATTTGTCTCCTCTGATCTCTGGGGTGACCAGATAAATTTCTTATGGCCCCTCCCAGGTGATAGTACCCTAACAACCATTGTTCCCTCTGAATAGGGAACTACCACTTCAACCTCAGGGGTCTGTGACAAGGGGGAGCATATATGGTCATCAGAGTATCATTGATTTAGATCTCAAAGGCCATCTAATCCAACCCCAATATTTCACAGCTGGGAAAAATGAAGTCCAGAGAGATTTACCTGACTTGCCCAACCACTACAGTTAAGACATGCCGGAAGCAGAATCTGGCCCCTGGCCTGGAACCCAAAGCCAATACTCTTCCCACTGTGCCACACACTGACTTCGGTGGTCTCCATCATGAGACTAAGGAAAGGTTAAATATAGTCTTCTCACTTTTACTCAGATTGGAAATGTTAGAGTAGCAGTAACTGCTCTCACCTCACTTTTCTCCCTGGGTAGCTGAGAACCTCACTCAGACAGGAGCCCAGCCCTGCCCTGGATAATCAAATAGTTTGAGGACCATTGGAAAACCCATGAAGTTGACTTATGGAGAACCACTCCAGATCAAGAGTGGGATATGCCTGGGTAGCTGAAGCTTCAATCAGCACAGGAAGAACCTGGAAAGAGCAGCTTATAAATTTCCTATGGGTCAGAAGAAGCTGTGGGCAGGGGAGACCTGCAACGTCTCTCCTTCTGTTTGCTCTCCTGTTGTCACATTATTTTTCATAAGTATTATTTTGGAAGAGATGAAGAAATACAGAGAAAGATCGATTTTTTTTTTTATTAAACCAGGGAGCTTTATGTTCAAATACTCCATCAGACTTTTATCAGCTGTGTGACTTTGGGCGAATCAACAAACCTTTTTCAGTCTCAATCTCTTTTCTGTAAAATGGGGCTAATAGTACCTTCAAGTATCTAAGGGGAGGGGTGTTGTGAGGCTCAAATGAGATAATGAACTTTGTAAAGCACTTTGCAAATCTCAAAGTGCTATATAAATGCCAGTTATTATTGTGGTGGTTGTTATTTTTAGCCTCATTCGCCAGGCCTTCTGTCTAGTGATGACTTCATTCCTTGAGCCTTCTACTGCACCCTTTCAAAACAACATTTATGGAACAATCCAGGGGTGTACTGCTAAATGTTTCACAAGGGAGAGGGGATATTCAACAGTACTTTTAAGTTCAATATGCATCACTAACTTTCTTAAGTTTGGACAATTAACAAAACAATAAATCAAGTCCTAATTTGTAACTATTGCCTATTTCTTAGGTATAAATAAATATTCCCACCGAAAATTTAACAATGGGATCTCTAAGACAGGTAAAGCTGTTTCAAGCACATCTCTGCCTAAGGGGAGTTATGAGAGCCAAACAAATAATCAATAAGCATTTGCTAATTGCTCTATGTCAGGCCCTGCATCTAAGCACTGGGGACACAAAGAAACGTCAAAAAAATCCCAAACCAAACCTGGTTCCTGCCCTCATAGAGCTTGCATTCTAACAGTGGTTTTCAAAATGTGGTCAGAGGACCCCTCTGGGTCTTTGCTTATTAAAATAGCTCCTCTCCTTTTTCAACTACAAGTCTATATGAAGCTAGATTTTCTTCGAATGCTTCAGCCAAAGCACCATATCACAATAGATTGAATGCAGAAGCAGATATAAGAATATAGCTGTCTTCTATTACTAGATATTAGATAGACATTAAAGATATTTACAAAAATCTTTAAAATAATGCCACTCTTCTCAGTAAATTTGTTTTCGAAAATATAGCTATTTTCATAAAAATATGTTGTTTATGTTAACATGTAATAGAATTGTTATTGTTATTTTAAAATGAAATTAATAAATACTATATTTTAATTTTTTATTAGTTTTAATTTCTTAAACAGTAAATGTCAATAGATATAATCTACATAAAAAAGCTTTTGGGGGTCCTGTATAATTTTTAAGAATGTAAAGGGATTCTGAGACTAAAAAGTATAAGAACTGCTGCATTCTAATATGGGACACCAGTAAATAACTACATACATACCATATATTTATACACACATGCATATATGTATATTATATATACACATATACACACATGTACACATGTGTATATATACACACATGCATACATATATGTTAAAAGGAAGGTAATCTCAGAGGGAAGGCACTAGCAAGGGGGAAGACTAGGAAAGAACACCTCCAGAAGGTAAAATTTGAGCTGGGTCTTCAAGCCAGAGAAACTAGTTAAAACATAACAGAAGCTTGAATCCTCTGTCTTTGTAATTATGCCTGGAATATTCTCCATCCTCCTCCAAGACTACTGACCTCCTGGGCTTCTTCTAAGTCCCATCTAAAATCTCACCTTCTATAGGGAACCTTTTCCAACCCCTCTTAATTCCAGCGCCTTCCCCCTCTTAATTATTTCGTATTTGTCCTGTACATAGCTTGCTTTATATATATATATATATATATATATATATGTATATATATTTGCACGTTGTCTCCCCTATTAGATTGCAAGCTCCTTAAGGGCAAAGATTGTCTTTTCCTTCTTTTTATATCCCCAACACTTAGCACAGTGCCTGGCACGTAGTAGGTACTTAATAAATGTTTCTTGATTGATTCCTTGTGAAGATCTATTCTTTTATGGAAAATCATTTGGGAAAGCCTTCCTTCAGCAGATTGCAGAGCCCTTCATGATCTGGATCCAACATGCCTTTCCAGGCTTTTGTACAGTCTTCTTCATGAACTCTTCATTCTAGCCAACTTGAAGTTTCCTGTGTAGTTATTACCTCTCTGGCTTCTGTACTTTTGTGCAGCTTGTCTGCCAGGCCTGGAATGCTCTCCCTTCTCATTCCTGCTTCATGGAATCCCTAGGTCCTCCAAGGCTCAGCTCATATGCCACTTCCTACACAAGGTCTATTCTGATCCCCCTGGTTAATAATCCCCCCCCAACCTGAAGTTATTTTGTGCATGTTTCATTTTTCTATATTTGTAGGTTCATATTGTTCCACACCCCCCCCAAACCCCTCCCCCTCAACACATACACAATAGAATGTAAGCCTCCTTGAGGTCAGGAACACCTTTGGTTTTGTCTTTGTATCCTCAGCCCCTAGCACAGGCTAGGAATAAATGTTTGCTGATTGATTAAGGGAAGGATTCCCCCCCCCACTCTCCACCCCATTTACTCTGCATGTACATAATTATTTTCTTGCTGTATCCCACATTAGAATGCAGTGGTCCATGTGCCCTCAGTGCCTAGCGGAGTGACATTTAATTACACAATTTAATTCCCTTTTTCTCCAGGAAGTCTTTCCTCATCGATTTTTATCCACAACAACCTCTTTTTGATTTGAGAGATTTGAAGAAAACCTCTACCTCCTTAGAGTTCAGTTTCCTTATCTGTAAAATGAGGGAGTTGTTCTACATCATTCAATTTTATAACACAGATACATATGATTATTTACAAGGTAGATAAAAGATTTGGAGGGGAAGACTCAGGAGACTGAGAGAGGCCTCAGGTAGAAGGTGGCATTTGAGGCAAGACTCAGGCTCAATCCCTCTCGATAGGGTGCTTGGGTGCTTGTGTTTTTATTTGGACCCCAATTTCTCCCTAGTCTCAGAAACACTGCCTCTGACAATTTCTCCCCGACCCAAGGACACTGTACTTAGCAATTACTCATGAGTGGGCCTCAGCAAGACCCTTACCTCTCTCCCTGGTACAGCTACACAGAGCTGGGCTGCTCAGGCCCCAGCCCTCAGATCATGTCTCTGGAAGCCTCCCAATTCCTTAGTAAGCTCCTGTCTTGTGAGAAAACTTTCCCAGAGCATTCTCTAATCAGGACAGAGAAAGAGGGGTGTCTTGTCTGGCCCAAGGACTCTTCCTCCTGCCAGATTCCCAAGATCCATGCCTCTGATATCTCCCTCCCTGTCTGGTATACTCCCTACACTTTCCCATCCATAGCTTCCAAAGACACCAGGACCATTAGATTACCTAATCAGTATCCCTGGCATTTCTTTCCCATGCCCTTTTCCATATAAACTCTAGCTCCATCCTCAGTCTCTCACAGGTTCCTTAAGAATGCTTGCCCACTGAAAAGCGTAACACTAAACTTTTTGCCAGCTTGACTTAAAGAATGCTTGAGTCTGTGAATTCATTCCAGATGACCCCGTCCTGTACTCCAGTCTTTGAGGGGTCTCAATCTCTCAGACAGCAATACTCTCATTTTTATACCCAAGGAACCCAAGGCCCAGATAGGCTTTAGGGACTTTACCAAGACCACACAGTAGCAAGTGGCAAAGCCAGAATTCAAACTGAGCATTCTTTCCACTGCTCCTCGAAGTGGTTCTTCTTTCCGTTGAGCCTAAATCTGCCCTTTGGTAGCTCCTACCTCCTAGTCTTAGTTTTGCCCTCTGGGAATAAACAAAATAACATGTCAGCCTTTCAAATATGCCACTGTTCTGTCAGCAGAAGATGGGGAAGGCTGAAAGTCAAAGCTCAGATTAGAATAAAAGAAAACACCTGAAAGCAGTTCCCAAAACCGTTTGCCACAGAGTTACAGTGAAAGAGGAGACTGCTGGTCTGTTCTGGCCTTAAACTGACTGGAGTTTACTTAGATTTAGAGAGAGAAATCTCATTGAGGGATTTCTGTTTGTTTTCTTTTAAAATAAATATTCATTGAGTGTTTAATTGTTAAATTAAGCCCTAGGATCATATCATCACAAACTTACGCTGATGATACCTCTTTATGTCTTAACCCTCTCGTCAAGATATTGGGAGACACCCTGTTTTCCAGAGCTAAGGCCCATCAAGCAGGCTGTGCCCTGAGCTTGGCATAACAAGAGTCCTTTGCACTCACCCTCACTCATGGGCTCTGGATGAGCTCACCCTTTGGTTTAATTATTGTTATTGCTTTGACCAGCACCAGGTGTTCTCTAAGCTCTGCCGGCTCTGGGCATGAAGCCCTGCTACGAATCAAACTTGTCACGTTGTTGCTGTTACCCTTCATTGTCGGGGCTACAGCTCCCTGTGCAGCTACTAGTGTAAGT